GTCAACAGTAGTCGTATTCAGAGTATATCATCGAGAAACTTCATTACAATATCACAACAATCATTTGCTAAACAAATCCAATTGACTACAATAATGATGTCTTTTTATTTGTTTAAAATATTTCAAAAAAAATACTGTTACATGTAAGATAAAATGTCATGACTTCTATATTAAGTAGTTTATTCAATAAGATTAAGCTGTTGATTGCGGATAAGCTGACACTGCGACTCGTAGATTGACATTATCTGTGTCTAAACGTCCAACTTGATTACTACACCGGATTCTCAATGTTTTGCGTACCAAGAGCATTAGTTCTTTTCTATAGGTATGACTTGATAAAAGATATAAAAAGAAGGACGAACCATAGGAAAAATCAAAAAGTAATTGACAAACTGTAGCTGAAAAGGAGAAAGCAATTCCACTACTAATTGTGTTTGATAAAATCGATATCAGATAAATGACACTCGATGGTAGAGTGAGCAAAATATATACGCTCACTTGAAGAAAAAGCATCCGAGCCAGTTGATGTTCAGTACGATTAAAACGTGACGTTGCTAATGGAACTACACGTGTTCGAGTTGTATTTCGAATAGTCATCAGACCAAAAATCATCATGAAACCAGGCGCAAACAGAGCATACAGAAAAACTTGTGCAGTTATGTATATTTGATTGTAGATGGTATTTGTTTGTAGTGCACATATAAATCCAAATGCTGGCTGTAAATCGAACAGCACCAGAATATGGATGAAAAACAATGCAAAAACACTGATAACAGTACAGATGATCCATTTACTTATTCGAACAGAACTCAGTCGACGTATCTGAGCATTTGCTGAACTGGCGCAATACCGATCCACTGATGCAAATACAATCAAATAAGGTGAAATAAATGAACTTACAGTAGCAATATAAGTAATAATTTTGCATGAAATCCCAGTATAATTAGCCAGATCATCCTGATATCCATTGACTGATAAACGATAGGTAAGGAAGATACCGGAAAAAAGTAGATTATTGATCGCAACAGCGAGGAAATAACGCGAACATGCATGATGATACAGAGCACGCCGAGCAAGTACAGCAATATTGAGAGAATTGCCAACAACACCGATAACAATGATCACGGGTATGATTGCTCGGGTAAGTTGCTCGCCAATTTGAAGTAGTGAAGTAGTCATTGTCGATTTCTCTTATGTTCTTATCTATATGGATATATGTGTTTTCATAGAATTTAAATAAATTACGACTGAAGCTATATTATAGAAAGATGTAGGTATATAAAGCTTGCATAATAGCGGATTTTATCGTTTAAACTCTTTAGCTCCGAGCGATTTCTTGAAGATAATTAAATTTTTCTTTTGCAATCTATGTCTTTAGAAACTAATAGATATTATTATATACATGGCAAGAGAACTTTAAAAAAATGTGAACTCGAATATCCTCATCATCTACAGCTAATACGCTTATATATAAATACATATTTCATTATATTATACTTCCTCGAGCCATTGGATTATTTTTACTGACGTCGATGAATAATTACAAAAAAACTCATTATGAGTTGTTTTTATATGCAATGACGTCAATCTTTCAGGATGGAGGATATTACCTTACTTTTTTAACTTCCAGCAATAGAAATGCAACGATGACGATCATTAATCGCTATACCGATCGAACCGGTGACACAGTGAAAGAAAATTCTTTTGAACTATCTGGCGGCTGTAGGTATAAGCATCTCTTCTCTGGAGCCACACTCGGAACTACTTCGAGGTTTATGGAGATACTCTTTCATTTGGCTATAGCAATTATATCTTGAGAGTGTGAGTATGAGTACAATAGCCGTCGCACGCTCACACCCTCAAAATCCGATATTTCGATCCCGGTTCGCTAATAACATCTTATATTTTAAGTTGGCTAGTTTCTCAATGAAAGTGATCGATCACTGACCTGAAAATAGTCAATCAATTTCACTTAAAATACACGTCCCTCCATTGTTAATTGCTTATACTTTGTTTTTATGTCTTTGATACACATACACATTACTAAGAGTTTATTCGATACAATTGACGAGAGATTGACTGGCTGATCGTATTTTTCGATAAAATTCATAAATCAACGAATAATTCTCAGTACATTTCATATCAAATAATGAAATTTCAAGAGATTTTTCTTCTTACTACTGTAAATAACATTAAACGAAGTAACTAAAATGATACGAAAGATAAGAAATAGACAAAAGAAAAGACGATATCATAACGAGCCATGCTTGTGTGCAAGTAAGATGAGACAATGACGATAAAAATCTACTTATGTTCGAATAACAAAAAATAGAAAAATTTATTATTGTTGAACATATATACAATTATTTTCAAATAGTGTAAAAAAAAAGAAATGGTTGAATATAATTCAAAAAAACAAACTTTATACAATCGTCGACAAACGATGGCTGCACCTGAGTCTCCTCATGATGAATTACATGATTTAACTCGTCATCTAAGTGCATCAACTAATGTTCGTCTGCCATTATCACCTGTTTCTCCAAGTGATGAAGTAAATAGATCAGCTCGTTATTTAGGTACACCAACCAATGTTCGTCAACCATTATCAAGTAATTCTCAAATTGATTTACCATTCAGCGATGAATATCGTAGTCAAGAACGAGTTCCACCTGCAGGTGTTGATGTTCGACGACAATTTGTTTCGAGTCGAATTGGTGATTCTATTTCTAATGACAGCGTCACTCGACGTCGATTATCAATTATTTCCGAAAATTATTATCCAGTAGATGATGAAGAAAATCAAAATGAAGACAATCAAACTTTAATTGAAACAGATAATGATAAACGTCGTCGTCGAATATTATTTCTTGTCGAACCAATTCTTGTTGGTTTAATTCTTCTTCCAATTATTGTTCTTTTTTGGGATTGTGGATGGAATCTTGTTTGGACTTTATTAAATACAATAAATGGATACCCATTAACAATAAATCAAGAATTTTATAATTATTCATTTTTATCATTATTTATTCCATATTCAATTGTTCAAATTCTTCTTTTAATTCTTTATATTGGTCAAGAGATTTTTTATAATTTTCTTAAAGAACAAAATTCTATTATTAGAATTATTCTTTTAAAATCTCATATATTTCTATTAGCAACAATTTATATAATTCAATGGGAAATTGTCTGGTTATTATGGGATCAATATACTCCTCGTCAATGGTATTTTCAATTAGTTCTTTCAATAGCAGCAATATTTGCATTAATTGTATTTATTGGTCATTTATCTGATCTTGTTTGTGCACCATTTCTTGTTAGTTATGATTCAATTGAATATTGTCTACATTTTGGTTGTCCTCTTTTAACACGACAAGTAAAATCTTTTTATTAATTTATTTAAAAAAAAAAACTAATAATTTTTTTATTTTTAAGATGAAACAATGGAAAATTAATGTAATTAATTATGTTTTATATGAAATAATTATTTCTAATTTATCAATTGTTACATGGCGTAGTTTTTATAATTTTCTTGATCAACATATGTATCCTGATGATCTAAATAAATCAGCTTTAATTTGTTTATTAATTGGTTTTATTCTTTATTTTCCCTTAATGTATTTTCAAAATTATTTCGAATATTTAAATGTAAAATATGAATTTTGGGTATTTGTTTCAATTAATTTTCCTCAACTTTATCGAAATGTTCGTCATGTATTTGCTTTTTTATCATGTGTTTTTCTTTGGCGTGGACTTTGGCTTCTCTATGATTCTTATATTGTTATATTTGAATTTCATTATCAAACATATTTATTATTATATTTAGTATCATTTTTCTTTTTAGCTTTAATTCAAACATCATCATCAATCAATGGTCCATTAAGTAATATGGAAGATGATAATCATTTCTTTCCTCTCTATCCAAATTGTTATGTTTCAACTGTTATTAGAAAATTTTCTTAAATATTAAATAAAATATTACATTACACTTTAATCCTTTCGTTACAGAATTTTTTTTTCTGCATTGAAACTCAAGAAATCCTTGAACTGGCTGTTTTTAGAGATGGAGATCAGTAACGGATGTATAGGCGAGTGATGAAGAGATCGATCTTGCCTTTTCAAAAATTACAGTTTACGGCTGATAGGAATATATGTAAAAGGAATTCATCTATTTTTGCATGTGATATATGAAATTTAAGCAATACTGAACCTTGTTATACTTGAACGAAAATTTTAACTGCTCACGTTTATTAGCTGTAAAGCTTATCGAATGTTTTCATGAAATAACAAGAAACAGTTTTGAGGGCCGAAGAAGAAGAGAAATCCACACCCATATCCTTTCCTAGAATACCCTGCTTAAATTGCTTTTAAGAGATCGTACACCGATTTCTATGACTTTTACTATAGAAAAAAATCATTAAAAACAGGTGTAGTTTTTTTTATACTTTTGTAACGAAAGGGTTAAACATACAACTTATATCTTCTAGGTTATCGATTATACTGATCTCATAGAAAAGCAGTTTTTTTAAAATACTAAAAATTTTGATAAATGTTTTTTTTCGATCTACTCAAATTAAAGAGTAAATTGAATTGTCTATAAATCAACAGTTTGCAAGAATAAGTTTCAGAAAAATGATATTTAATTTGATAATATCTATCAAATGAAAAAGTAAAAAATGTCTCATGTTATACATACGAGAACGTATGCCATCTTCTGCAATATACAAATCAAGATCATAAAAGAAGGAGGACGAATAAATATTTAAATTTAATGGGGTATTATAGAATAAAACAGATAATTCTCAAGTAACTATTTTCCATCACATCAATGACATTTATTTATTGTTAACTCAATTATTTTTGTGTACATTTAAATATTGTTCTAGAATCATTAAAATATAAATAATGATTTGTTTCTTCATGTGAAATTGAATGTTAGAAAATAAAATTCTTTTTCGGATCCATCTATAGTTTGATTTATATTTTTAGAATCTAATAAAACAATGAATAATAGTATAATCGATGACCAATGTACTATAATTCGAGATAGTGGAGCAAAAATTAGTATTGAATTATTAAAAACATCATTTGATTTATTTGTTTCTGAATTAAAACAAATCGATGATATTGATATGAAAAATAATTTAATTGAACAAATGGTTTGTTCATTATCAGTTGTACCTTATCGAAATAAAAAACTTGCTGATTTAAAATTATTAAATCATGAATTTTATTTTATTTTACGTGATAAAATTCTAATTGAAAATTTACGTGAACGACATATTGAAGATAAAATTTACCCAAAAGTTTTATTAGATGTTTTAATTTTCTTTATGAATTTATCTTGTAATATAAATAATAATAATTTAAATGAATTTAAATATTTATTTTTTCATAAAATCTTAATTAATGAAATTGGAAATTGTCTTAATGAAATGAGTACATATGGAAAATATCTTGATAATAATTTAATAATTCGATCAATAAATTATTTATTAATTTTATTTAAACATTTTCATGCATATGATATAACAAAAGCTGATTATTTATCAATTTCTCCAATATTTTATGGTGTTATTCAATGTTTATGTTGTTCATATTCAATTGATTTAATTAAAAGTTTAAAACAAAGTTTTATTCAAAAATTAAATGATAATCAAATCTTATTTCTTTGTTCAATGCCATATTATTTACAATGGTATTCAGATTATTATCATCCAGAAAATATTATTAAAATTTTAAGAATATTATTAAATGAATTTACTTTATGGATGACAAATTGTCATCCCGATACTTATTATCAATGTTCATCTCAACTTGCAAAAATGATTCGTCATCTAACTTATCTTTTTGTTCGTCCACTTAAATCTGATTATATCAATATATTATGTCAAGATTTTTATCATGATTATTGTAAATTAGTCTTACATTGGTCATTAATATTATCATCAATATTATCGAATTCTTTTAATAAATATAATATTAAATTAAATATAAGAATTATTGTTCAAAATTTATATAATTTTACTTTACATTCAAATGTATTAAATTTTATGAAAACAATTTCAAATTTAATTCCAATGCTTTTACAAATGACTGATATTCAAAATGATGAAATACAATTAAATGTTTATAGATGTTTAGGAAAAAATTATGATAGAAACAGATATTAAAACAATGGCAAATCCACAAAAAATTGCTTCCATGTATATTGATTATATTAATAATACGATGAATGATTTCAATAAAACAGAACGATTTACTAGTTTATTAAAAAGTTTAATAAGTAAGTTAACACGATTCTCTAAAATTTGGCCGAAAGATGAAAATAGCGGAAAATTCGAGAGGTGTAAGTTAGAGTTGAGGGTGTGGATGTTGGTACCTATAATAGCTCGACCCACACCCAAAAGCGTGCTGACTATGTTAAATTTTATTCTCTTTCTTGTAGAGAAGAGTCCAGTAAACATAAAGTGTCTGATTGCTTGTATGTCCGCAGGGTCAAAAAAACATCGAAAACTGATTTGTCAAAAAATACATTTTTTAGAGGTTTTTCGATACGAGGGCTTCGAGTCTGAGGTCTGTTGAGTGACCATAGTGAGGAGGGAGAAAGAGGTCAAAAAAACATCGAATACCGATTTTTCAATTGTTTTTCCAGTAAATGTGAAGATGATACATTTCTACGAGAAAGAGCTAAGCGAGTCCTCGGGCGGGCGTTATTTGTTATATTAAAATATGAAATTTATTTTATTAGATTTTGTTCAACACGATCAAGTTAAAATTGAATTAATTAAACAAAATGCACTTCCTTTATTAATAAAATGTGTTATTGAAATTCGATTTGATCCAATAAATGTTCAACAAATAGCTTTAGAAATTCTTCTTGCTCTTGCATTTGATAATAATGCTTTAGAAGTTTTAAAACAAAATGAAATTTTTATGAATCATATTCAAATCTTAAGTAATAATTCAAATTCAACAACAATAAGTTTACAACGAGCAGCTGAAAGACTTCTTTGGAAATTAGAAAAAGAAGAAAAATGTATTAATAAATCAATTGTTTCTAATAATAAATATAAATATGATATAATGATAAGTTATTCACATAAAGATAAAGATTTATGTTTTCAAATTCATGAACAATTAATTAAAGATGGATATTCTGTATGGATTGATAAAGATTGTTTACGTGGGTCAACAATGATTGGTATAGCAAATGCGATTGAAAATTCTCATAATGTACTTATTTGTATGTCAAATATGTATAAACAAAGTGTTTATTGTCAATCGGAAGCACATTATGCATTTGAACGTGGTTGTCGTCTTATTCCAATTATTTTAGAATCAAATTATCAACCTGATGGATGGCTTGGAATTCTTGTTAGTGGAAAAATTTATGTTAATTTTACTAATCAAGAATTTGCATTAGCGTATGAAAAATTAAAAAATGAAATAAATCATTATCAACATCAAAATTTCAATATATTATCAAATATCAATGAGTCAAATGAAATTATTTTCAGCAATACGAAACAACATCAATTAAATTTTCAATCGTTCGTATATATTTTTCTTTTAAATTGATTAAACAAATCTTGAGAGGTGGGCGTCGATGCTGTCTTCTTTGCTTCTCATACCCATCTATTCTAATAATTTATTTTATTTTAATAGAGATTTACCTAAATGTATTATTGAGTGGAGTTGTGATGATGTGAAATTATTTTTTATGAAAATCAAATTGGATAAAACAATTCATCTTCTATGTACACATATGGATGGTCATCGTCTTCTTGAATTATATGAAATGTGTCTTATAAATCGTGAATCAATGTATCAATCACTAAAATTTGAACTGAATGAAACATATCATACATTATTATTAATTTCTGATTATCTTACATTTCTTCATGAAATTAAATTCTATGTTCCATTAACTTCGACAAATATTCAAGCTACACAATCTTCTAGACTTTCAATTACATTTTGTAATGTTTTGTAAAAATATTTAAGTTCAAAAGATTTGTTCACCTATAAAAAAATAATCATTAGTAAATGTGTTTTGATCGTTATAATAATATTCTTTTAAATATTCATCAGCAATATTAGAATTCCTTTGATTGTTATAACATCTTATTTGTTGAATTTGACGGAGGTGTAAATGCTATCATTCACATCCTATAAAACTTGCAGTAATTATTAAATCATTGATAATAGATTTTAAAGAAGTTTAAATAGATTAAATCTCGATCAATAGATCCCATATGATGAATCATTAATTTAGTTAAACAAACAATTACTCTTTTGGTTTTACGATTTTTCTACTGAGGGTGCAAGTTTAAATATATAAATAATAAATTATTAATATTTTATTTCAACTAGAATCAATTATATTTGATTCATAACTTTAATCCCATTGCTAATATTGTTATAAATATAAATATCAACTTTCGAAGTACAGTGTGAATATTCTGTTGATCCGACATTACTCGCATATCTAAACATAAATCTATCTTTAAAACGAACAAGATAACTTTATATTTAATAGAAGATCAATGAATGTTTTGAGTTTAGTTAATATAAATATATCTATTCTTTTTATTTCTATAAAAACTATATTAACTGAATAGAGTAAAGTGAGTGATCTAATCCGTAAGATGTTCTGGTAATCCAAGATAATGAAGACTTTGATCTTTTTCGATACAATGAATATCTTGATCAGTTTTAGCCTTGTCTGAAACAAGAATAAGTTGATTTTTGCCTCTCCATGTAACACCTTCAATATTACAATATTTTATTTGACATTCTGATGCCATTTCAGTGGTTCGTGGTAAATTGTATATAGTATTCTTATTCAATGATGAGAATTGAAAGAAAGGAGCTTTATTTATTTCTTCGATTGTACCAATCCATAATTGACTGCTTTCTTGACTTGTTACAGCTACATATGTCGGTAATTTATACGATGGTTGATGATAAATTGATATAGCTGAATAATCATCGAAATGAACAGACGATGGTAAATCAAATGTACCAACGGGTTGCCATACACAAGTACCTTAATAATTCAAAAATAATTTAAAATATTTTTTAGAGAGAAAAAGATCAGTTACTTTTGGAAGTAGATTTAGTTTTTTCTAGAACTACAACACGTCCATTATTGTCAGTAGTTGATTTATGATTACATTGATTAGCTTCACATAATGCAAGTAAATAACTTTTTTTTGAATTTTGATGTAAAACAAATTCAAGACCTTCAAAACCTTTATTTTGTGTAGCAAAATCCCAATTAATTGAACAAGATTCAACTATACGCACAGGAATCGAATCTTTTTGATTAATACTAATTTCAAAAACATTCGCTTGAAATATTTTCTTATTATCTGTTGGTATTGCTTCTTGTACGACAAAATATGTTTCACTTCGTGGATTATAAGCTATTCCTTCAAAACTTGATTTTTTATTTTTCAATGATGATTGAGGCCATTCAAGTAATTCATCAGTACAATTAAATGAACGTCCCAATGAAGTACATATAACACCTATATTGTACATATTATCAAATACAACATACATTACATGACCGTCACGACTAAGAATAACATCAGATGATTCAAAACGATCAGGAAACATTTCCATTTCGTTGTACCTAAATAATTCAAAATAATGGATTAATTTATTTTTAATAATTTTGAATAACTTACATTGATAAATCAACGAAAGAATCGATAATTGTTTGTTCTTTTAATAATTTCATTGTATTTGTATGGTAATTATCTTTCTTACAAACATTCACTGCTAATGTTTGATCATTATTAACAATGAAAATAAATATCGTTAAGATCCAAACGAACAACTCTAATGATGTTTTCTTCGCCATATTATTGGTCTCAATATAAAGTAACCGTTTTTTACTGTATCGAAAAGATAATTTCTTCAAGGTTTTATATTGATTTCGTTGTTTTCAAGTACTTAGACAATAAATCATTCATTTGTAATCGATATCAAAACATCATCGACGATTTCAAATGGATTAAAAGTGGACTTAAAAAAAAAATTAATGATTTGTATTCTCTATCAATATATGATATATGATATCCAATAAATTTCCTTGGATTTTTCGTTTATTTCATTTTTCTAATTAAAAATACTGATTTAATTATATAACACATTTAGATTTCAGAAATTTCTCCGATTAAAAATAGATGACAAATGTGTTTTTCGGTAGATTCGATTTTCACCGAAAATGAACTACGCTTAGTGAATTTATCGCCGAAAGTCAATAGACAATAATTGTATTTTGAGTAGTTCGATCAGTGATTAGAATAGATGCCACTATAAGAAGATTATGTCCTAATTTGTACGCAGATTAACTTACACTCATCATCTGATATTCAAACATAGTAATATTAGTGTTACATTTACTATGTAGAATTTTCGAATTTCATGTATACTAGTTGATTAATTTATTTGATTTAAGTTTATTATAAAAAAAATTTGGTTCTACGGTATATTACTGAATATGATAAAAATGTAAAATAAAGAATAAATAATGATGAAAAATTTAATTCTAAAGTCGAGGAAATTTTAAATTCCATGTTTTATTAAAAAATTCTTGATCTTTATTTATAATATTTAATTGATAAATAAGATGAAATGTTGATGGTGATTGTTCACTAAACATAATTGATTTTGTTTTAATATCAGCTTTGATATATCTTTCAATTTCTATTCTTACTGATTGTGGATCATTTTTCTTTATTTGATAAATATTTTCTATTATTAATGGTAACTTTAAATAGTAGATTCATTAGCTAATTATCAATTCAAAATAAATAATTTCTACATATATTTATCCAGCTTTATATTATATTTTAAAAAAAAATAGCAAAAACAATAATATTTACAATGACACAAGTCTTCTTCTCTCGTTCATTTTATATAAAAAATAACTTCTATATGAATATTTATACTTATCAGTTTTTATGTACTGTTTTTTTTCTGATAAGAATAGAAAGTAAATATATTGATATATTTTTTATAAGAAATGCAGTATACTTTCAAAAATTCGTTAAAAGAAAGATAAGAAATTCCATAAATATTTAATAAACATATGAATTATATTTTTCTTGAAACTTCCGTAAATCAAAACTCTTATACAATTTCTATTTCTTGTTGAGTTCAATTCTTTGTATTTTAGACGATTTATTACTAGACAAAATCTACTTAAATGAAATTTTAATCTCATTTATTAAATATAATTTATATTGATTTAATTAATATGGTTATATTTTATCTTGTGAATTTATTTCAATACAATCAGTTAATAATTGAGTAGAAGAATTGATAATTTCAAGACCATTTGTAAATTCGAGTAAAACAAGAAAAACAAAATCTTTTCGATTTTTGTGAAATTTACGAAAAAAAACAAAATATTTGAAAAAATGAATTAATTAGTTATTGTCTAAATATGATATAGTATAATCATGATCAATTATATTCGAGTAAATATAATTATTGTCTAGGATGGGCCTGACCAGTTATCCATTCTGATAAAGCTTCTGGATTACGAGTCTAAATATATTAAGATAAAAAGAAATGTAATCTATTATATATATTTATTTACCTGAATATAAATAATTCCAGGTCCTGTAAATCTACAGACAAGTCCTTCACCAGAATGTGCACCAGCTGAAATACTTCCACCTGCTCTTTCTATTGAATATGTACATGTCCAAGCAACTAAATGACCATTATCAACAATTAATTGTTCACCTTGTTTTAAATGACGTTGAACAATTCCACCAAGAGAAGTAATAAAAAGAACACCTCGTCCCATAAATTGTTGAACAAATAATCCTTCACCAGAAAATATTGCTTTACCTAAACCTTGTGATTTTGTTTCTTTTGTAATTCCATCTGACATTCCTAAATATCCTCCTTTACCAACTGTCCAACGAGTATTTCCATCTAAATGTATTGCTATTATATCACCCCTTAATATACATCAATAAATATATATATAGAGGATCGAATGAAAATCATTTATTTTGATAAAGTCTTACCAAACTGGTGGTGCAAATAATATTTCTCCAGGACCAGTATAAGTTGTTTGAGACATTTCACCACCTGTAATCATTTTTCTAAAAGAAAATTTTAATTTTCCTTTAAGTGTAACATCAGGACTCATAGCAACCATTGCACCTGGTTGAGTAAAGATTTGTCCATTTGGTAATAGTGTGACTGAAAGAAGTGTATTTGTATCTCGATGATCAATTTTATAATAACCACCTGGAAATTCACCAGTTAAATCGGCTAAACTTCCAACTGGATTTTGTTGCATTGGACCACCAAAAGCCATCTATTATCTTGTTTTTGGTCGAGATAAATATAATAAATAATATGTAGATATTTGTGATTATAAATGAAACATCAAGGTTGATATACATACAGAAGAAAAATATACGTAAAAAAAGCCATTCACTTTTTTTTCTTTGTTTAATGACAACAATAAACACAATGTGTATCTGTAGGACGAGAAAAAAAAATGATAATGAATAAGCGTATTTTTACAATGAAAAAGTGGATATACATATGAATAATAATATGTATTAAAGCAGCTACATA